GGGGGGGGGAGGCTGCACACACACACCACCGCCGTATTATGAACTCTCCATACACTCGCAGTCATTCCTGCACAATGCACTCCGTTCCAGTAAAGCTGAAATGCAGTAGAATGCGCGAAACAAGGAAACGGAAGCAGAGTGATTTCCGCCGGTTTGTTGTTGCCTGGATTTTTCTTTGTTTCAGCTTTACCTGAATGATCATTTTCCACGTCTCCGTCGCTGCGACGCGACGGTAAATCACAACTAAATGACCCCTCGTGTCCGAATGAGAGCGCCGCGCGATTCTCGGGCGACTTGATTTCACGGAAAGACGTATATTATTACTATCGCCCCTCACCTGTTCCCGAGATCCCATGACATTCGTCCAGCTGCGTCGTCATGATCGTCGACGACGGGCATATCGCCTGCACCACCGCCTCACTCAGTGGCCGCCACACCACGACCCGGCAGTGAGCTGCACGCCCACCACATCACCAGTTTCACTACACAACACACTACACGTTCACACGAGCACTATTAGTCACTAGGGCCTCACTACTTCACGATGCACGGCTCGGAAAGCGGGCGCACAGAGACGCGCGTGAAGCCGGTGCGGTCTACGGCCGGCTCGACCGCCGTGCGCGTTTAGACTGACTGACTGACTGACTGGGGCGCGCGCGCGCGAGCTCCGCTCTGCCCCCCGTCCCCTCCTGTACCCGCAATAAGTGCTCCACGACGGCGTAAGTTACAACCCTATGTGACTTCACTAAGAAAACTGATGAACCGATTGCGCTAAGACAGGGAAGCTCTTTCTGGCGCGGAGTGCAAACCGCGGTTGCGCTAACGTTGACGCCTGCTATGCGCTGCGTAGGCCAACCCGTCAAGCAGCTGCGTGGAGCCGGCGGCCCACCCTGGGACTTGAAGGCGGGTTTCTTACTGAAAGACCCGCCCGCACCCGTGCATACGGTACAGTCGCCCGGCGTGAATCAGCCACCTGCTTTAACCCAACCGTAACATAATTTGACTTTTGTAAAACCATTTAAAAACTGAAACTCAAGGTGGATTAACTGCCACCTCCCTCCCATGAATCAAAGATTCAAACTAGAGTCCTCTGATTCAAACAAAAGATGTAGCTGTATTTCTTTTTTTCAAATTTGCCTCTCAATTCTGGCCGTATAGTTTTTCATACCTACCTCACACTTGCCTTCAGCAATATGAATGTGGAAAACGATGCTGCGGCAGTCCAGTTGCAGACGACAGAAACGCGAGTCGTTTGAGAGGTGTTCGTTGGCGTGACCAAAACAAACAACGGTTTGGGTTTAGACTTCTAAACACAGGCCTGTAGAAGAAAGTGAGTATACCTTTGTGATTCTCCCTGCTGTCATAGAATGTAGTTTATTTCACGACGATGCTTTTCTTTCGCCAACCATCGACAGTTTTGGTGTCTTTTGTTGTCACGCTGAAGCAGACTTTTAATAGGTTATTCTGATCATTCTGTATTTGACTGTTCATATAATTGCTGAACCTCTAGGTGCAGTGAGATTTGAAATATGGGTCGCTGGACATTTGCCTTTTATGCTGACAGTATTTACTAGACCTATTTCATCACTTGCGATGGTGATCACCAGCCACTTAATAGTTCAGCCGCAGCGGCCGCCAGCACGGACGTTAACTCTTCGTGTATTTCTATTTCAGTGGAAAACTATCGGAAGGGGAAAAATGTGGAGGAGGAGTTGACCAGGGACAAGATACCAATTCCTGATTTACCCAACAACTTCATATGGATGCAGGTAACGTTGAATGCTTTCCCCCCTCCCCTGCGCCATGTACCCCCTCCCTCGCCCTGGATACCCCCACTCCCCCGCTCAGCACACGTCGCGCGCTGCATGCAACAGCGCCGCGATAAGTTGAGCGCCTCCCGCGGCTTTCCCATCGTGGCCTCTTGGTCTAGGGGTATGATTCCTGCTTTGGGTGCAGGAGGTCCCGGGTTCAAATCCCGGAGGGGCCCTCTCTTTTGATTTATTTTAGTTCGTCGATGTACCTCACAGTTTTTGTGTGTCTTTCAGGTGCATGGTGGTAGCAAGATAAGAAATCTACTGGACGTAGCTCTGAAAGGTTTTGTTGATCAGGGAGCAGTTGTATGGACAGGGTCTGGAGCTGCTATTAGCAAAACTATATCATGCGCAGAAATTCTGAAACGTAAACACAAAGCTCATCAAATTACAAAAATTTCGTACAGAAAGTAAGGAATATTGAGAGTCATTTCCAGCAAAATAAAAAGATTCAGTGTCCTCAAGAATGAACTTTAACTTTACCATTAATCTACAGGTATGAAGAATTTTGGGAGCCACTATTAGAGGAGCTAGATGATTTAGTAGTCATTCGAGATGAACCTATTATTCATATCCTACTCAGCAAGGAGCCTCTTAACACTCAAGAATTAGGGTAAGCATTATCAGCAGACAACATACATATGTTAACAGTTTAACATTCAGTTAAACAGATCAAAATACAATAATTGCCAAATTTGCTTTTTCTTTTACAGTTACCAAGCACCAGGCGAGATTGATTCATCTTTCAAAGTTGCATATGAAAAACATAATTCTAAATCTGCTGGAAATAAGAATAGAAATAAGCCCTACACCTCTAATTCAGAACAGAAAAGTCAATCATTTAAGTCTCAGAGACAAGGACAACATAAAAGACCTCAAACCTGATAGTGCTTAGGCTTAGGATAATATACTTCTCAAACTGCAGGCCTGGTTCAAAAATTTATAGGTTCATATTAGTATTACCTCTTTTCTTTTCCAAAATGATTTATGGTTTTTTTGTGCTCAGAATGTTTCAAATATGAGACAAGTTTAAATCCTAATTAAACAGATGATTTGTTGATGAAATTAAGACTGTGATGAGAAAATAAATTCACATGAAATTGGAGTACAGTAGTTATTTATTTCTCTATACACTAGATCAATTATCACTCATTTGGTCCAAATAAAAAAAAGAACAAAAAAGGCTAATTTTAATTACACCACTGATACTATCAATAAATACAGGTAAGCATAGTACCATACAGTAAATAAAAACAGGTGTATAATATTTGATGAGGTACATACGTTTGTACAAAACAATTAATCATAAAGAAACCGCCCAGAAATGGTGAGATGATACATTTATTCATAAGGTTAACACATAAAGCTTACAAAGCCATACTTTTACATTTATTTGAAATAAATAAAACCATGTTTAACTATCAATTAACAGAAGAAACACAGAATAAACAAATTAATGGTTACCAAAATTATTCCCCTATTAACTAATGTCAACTTGTAACATTCTGTGTTTCAATGGCACCACAGATATTAATTCCAGATGTCGGTCGAAAAACAGTACACATCTGACTACAATCAGCAAATATAAATGCTTATGAAACTATGGCTAACACATAGTAGCTAAGGTGACTACACACATCCAATAAAGTATGTGCTCAAGATTTGCACACAAAAGGCAGAGTAAACTTGGACCTTTGATGTCCTATTAATCAAGTTCTACCAAACACAGAAGTCAAGCAACAAAAGTTGCTAAAGGGACCTTAAAAACTTTGATACATCAGACAGTACTAGTTAAAAAAGAAAAATGATCCCAAAGGACAACCTACTGACAGAATGGTCCATATGAGCATAACCAAAACATTGTCAAGAGGTCCTTTCCAGCCTAAACTGCTACATATCAAACTCCAATTTACCAGCAGTAAGTCTTAGGTCAGACAACAGCATAAGCTGGTTTGATTTTGTTTTGTAAAAAAAGAAGAGCAAAATGGATCAGTCTGTAGCAGAAACAATGAAAGTTATGTGAATACTTCAGTAAAATATAAATTTTGTAGGAAGTATTCAAGTTAACAGCAATGCCTACAAATCGAACAGCTTCATTTTTAGTATCTTGACCGACCTGAGAGTATTCAAAGTAACTATAAATTCTATAATCTATCTACCTTTACCAGACAGAATTCAATTTGTATAGCTATGATAGTTTTGATAACTTAAATTCAAGATTTATAGATCACCCACAAAGACTGATGATAAGATTCTACCAAGGAGATACGACTTGTCAACACAATTTGTTCATCCAGGGTGACAGCATTTATACATACACACAGGACAACAGGCCAAAACAGAGATAATTCATAACAGGTAATCTCTGTAAAATTAACAATCAACACAATATATAATGGCAGTAAAATGCTTATGCGAACATATCACTGGGTGCAATGATCTTAATGCATGAGAGGGTATGTTTCTTTGCTACTTGGAAGCAACTAAAATAATGAAGAAACTTGCTTGGTGCTGATAAAGTTTACAGAATTTTACCTTAACTCAAGGTTAGTAAGTCTGAGCAAAGAACCATTATGCAGTGGACTGTTACACAGGGTGTTACAAGATTTTCAAGCCTCCGATTCACCTGTACCTGCTTCTTCTTCCAAAATAGGTACAATTAGATTGTCTTTGGACATCAACCCATATTTAGTCACAAATAAAGTGAACCTTCTGCACAAAAATGTTTCATTCTGATAAAAAGACAAACCAGCATTAGTATTAGAAAAGTGAACATGATAGGTCTAATCAAATTCCAGGTTATTAATTATTTAAAATTGTCATACTTACTTCAAATTCATCAAATATGTTGCGGTGATGAAAATATGCATGTGAGAAAATTCTGTAAACTCTTCTACAAACAGAACCCAGCTTGGAAACTGAAGCATCTTTGATGCTCACTCTGAAAAGAAAAGCTTAGTTAGCAACAGTGTGAATTTGTTGCAAAAAAACAAAACGTCTCTGGTAGCTTTATTAGGAACTTTTAAAGTTCTGGGTTAAAACTAAATCAATTATTCCTATAGGCATCTACGAATCTGATTATTTTCTGCCATACAGGTCTTAATCAAACTGCATCAGGATGGTTAGCTGTTCACCTGCTAGGAAAGTATTTATTGCTGTTTAAAAGACATGCTGCACCATCCAAGGTATGTCTTGTATAATCGATTGCAGCACACTCCTTGGGTGTTTTGTGAGCAGCACAAAGAAATATCCACTGTTCTGTCGCTGTCATCTGTGTGCATGTTTCTGGATGGCAGTCCCCTTGAAGTCGCACAGCTAATCCGTTCAACTCCATACAAAATTGCCTGCCAAAAAAAATTAAACATATTTACTGTGTAATGATTGTTCATTATTGTATGCAAATAGAGAAAATGACACATGACACATACCTCAAATGCTCATACTTCCAAACTCCTTCATCCTGACCATCGGGGGGAGTAAGAATCTGTACAATATTGGATGGTTCACGTCGGATTTGCTGCTGAATAAATTGTTGCACCGCAAGGGTGCTATCCATTTCTTCAAACGGTTCATCTGGCCATCTGCTAAAATCCTGGAAAAGACAAGACATTTTAAACTTAATTTACTCCTTCAACAAGATCTTCAAAGTTAAAAATAATCAGTACTGACACTAGCATAGAATGGATAGTTATACAAAAACCAAAAAGTCTTTGATCATCCATTAAAATTTACAAAAAGAAAAAGTTCATCTAAAACCAAACGAGGGAACCCGTATTGCGGTTAATCGAACCATAGTGACTAAATTAGGCTGTCTATAGGTTAGGGAAACAGTGGCAATTATATTTATTGTTTTCAACTTCTTCTGTGTTGACAGATGTGACATAGGGAAAAGTTGTTCTTTAAGTAAAAAGGTAAAACCCGTCTCAACACACTGGGAGGCATTGAATACGTAATGTTTTGTTGTATTGACAGGAAGGGTAGCCTAGCTGACAGGTTACATTTCTCGACATTTCGGGGTATGAAGATGTGCGGAAACGATTTAAAATATGCGTTGTTGACATTTCAAATTACAAATTATTTTAAAAACTAAATTGGAAAATAGTACTTTTCCTTACCTTAGCTTTGGTACCCGGTTTATTTCTTCTCAAAATTGCAATACCGTCAGCCATCTTCATGTTCGCTTGTAGCAGTAAGCGCAAAGGCTGTCAACCTCATAAACATCAGCTTCACTAACTTCCACTCTGAAAGCAAATCCCGAATAACTAGGAAATCCTAAAAGACACCATAGAGATCGTTGTGAAAATTTGGGGGCACGGCAGAGTAGACATCCTATCTCCAAGACACAAAAAGGCAAACTGAGTGACGAAGCTGAAAGTTAGAGATGGGGGTTGGCAGCACATGTGCACGATAGCGCCTGAATGTTAGGCATCATGAATACAGGCGTGTTTATTGGGTGGCCGATCGAGAACAATTACTCTTGGGCCGATTAAAACTAGCCTTCTTCTACAGTGATTGAGTTTGGAAGAGCACTGCAGTGTGTACATGAACAAAGTATAGTTTTCTTAAGGAAAATTACAACACTAAACTTTGATAACATCGTTTATTTTGTCAAATTTTTACAAACATTCCATATTTAGGCATAAAAATTAAGTACAAAAAAAAAGTCAATCACACTCATTGAAAAGCATCCCTACCAACTTAAATATTTTTGTGAATAAGTGATGTTACAAACGTGAACTTAGGAACTTCCAACTGTTTTTCCCGTATTATGAACATTTTAGTCTTAACGAGCACTAAAATCTAAAAACAAAGCCACCATAGGTTAGTCTCACACCACACACCCACCAACCGGGAGAAAAAACAACAAATAAATAAATAAATAGCAATAACATTCTTAGGCGAATAATTTGTAAGGCAAATTTATAGGAGACCCTGAACTGTTATGTTTCACTGAGTAGTTATTGGTATTTACCTTACCACAAAACTCATTCTAAAAATAATATTTATAATTGGCCCAAGAAAAATCCAACATTTTTGTTGGATACATTGAAGCAGTCTTTGAATATGGATGGACACTTTTTTTCTCTATAAAAACTACAAAATGACAGTGAGGTATTGTCAATGACATAAGACATTAATTTCAGAACATACATTCTTCTTATATCCTAAAGAATTTAAGATTCGAGGGTGCAAAATTGCAAAAGCTACCACCAAAGACATCTTAGGACATAGAAAAGTAAATGACAACTAATAACATGAAATAAAGTAACACAAGTCTTCCAGAGTTAGCTATTTCTACAGTTTGAACAATATTTGAGACCAAAAGGTCCCATGATAGTTAACTAAGGTACATTCGCTAATCATTCCTCAAACAGAATGTTACGTATTTCTTTTGAGAAAACAATTTCTTCTACTATCTTTTTAAGAGACCTTGACTCTTCAGCAAATGCTCCCTGAAGAGTTCATAATCATCTGCAAGTAATTCCATAGCACTTTGTTTGGCTTGTAAAAGTGCTTCTATGACTTTTGCTTCGTCTGTTAATCTCATCATTCTATACAGATTTCTCATTTGAGCAAGATCTAAATTGACATAATTGTTAGCAAACTCCACCAACAATTCCAGCTCACGGTGCAGATTTTCTGACACTTGTGAAGTTTTTGCAACGCTAGAGCTAGTAGGAGCATTGAATGAATGATGAGAACTAGATGAGGTACTGCATTCACCCTGTGAAGAACTGAGATAATAGGATTCAGAAATCAGTTTGACATCAACATAACAATAAGATAAAATTTTAATAAAATGTGAAAGTACCTTGAAAAGCTAAAGAGTGATTCGGAAGGAGCAGGAGGAGGAGAATCACCTCCGTCTGTCTTGGTGGGCATGATTCTAACACAGCGCTCCCAGAATTCAACTGTGCTCAGGCTTTCATCAAAATTACGTGACTCTAAGTATCTCTTGAAATGATGTCGTCCATCAGTACTGGCCAGAACATTATTGACACTGTCAGTCCACCGATCAAGGTTCTCTCTGGTAATGGTGTATCCTTCCCCACACTCAAAGCAGGGAACACAATTCATCTTGATTGTTGATCATTGGATGTCTTTCAAATGTCCTGAAACATTTTAAACCATCACAAAATTCTCCAAGTTATTAAAAATTATAAGAGTTTGTCCACTGTTTAGAAAATAACAATCCACGAACATAACCTTATTTAGACATGTTCTTCTATCACACAAAATAACTTTAATGATAGAAATTATGATTTGACATTAATTATAAGGACATTGATTAATTAAATTATTTCTTTAGATCACCTACAAACGGCTTCCACATTGTAATGCTGGATTCATTCATTCATTTTTCTTCCATTCAACGACGGGCGTTGATAAACATCTAGCCGAAGGAAACAAAAGACAGATGAATGCAGACGATAGCATAAGGCCAAAAGTGACCAGAAGGGAAATACCGGAAATACCTTGAACACCTTGAAAGACAGTGGGTTTTTTGTTTTTGCTTTTTCGTTCTCGCTAGTTTTAGTGTGTGGTTACAGGGCAGTCAAAAATATGCGTGCCTACGAATATGAGACAACTCGAACGAAAATCTTTCGGTTAAAATCAACAT